GATGGTTCAACATAGGAAAATCTGTCAATGTAATCCACCATATAAACAGACTGAAGGAACAAAACCATATGATCATTTCATTAGATGCTGACAAAGCCTTTGACAAAATCCTACACTGCTTCCTGATGAAGTTCCTATAGAGATCAGGGATACAAGGAACATACTTAAATATAATAAATGCAATGTCATCGCAAGCTGACAGCCAACATCAAGTTAAATAGACAGAAACCGAAAATGATTCCACTAAAGTTAGTAACAAGACAAGGCTGTCCACTCTTTCCAAATCTATAGAATACAGTACTCAAAGTTCTAGCTAGAGTAATTAAACAACAAAAAGAGGTACAGTAGATAAAATTTTGAAAGGGAGAAATCAAACTTTTGCTATTTGCAGGTAATATGATTGTATACACGAGTGATCCCCAAAAGTCTACCAGGAAACTCCTTCTACAACTGATAAACGACATCAGTAATGAGGCAGGATTCAAGATTAAATAAAAAAATCAGTAGCCCTAAAGATAACTGAGAAGAGAAAGAAATCAGAGAAACATCAACCCTTAAAACAACCACAAGTAATACAAAATATCTTGGAGTAATTCTAACCAAATGTGTGAAACACCTGTATGACAAGACCTTTATGCCTTTGAAGAAAGAAATTGAGGAAAATGGGAGGATCTCCCATGCACATGGACAGATAGGATCAAGATAATAAAAATGGCAAGCTACCCATAGCAATCCCATCAAAATCCCAGCATAAATATTTACATACCTCAAAAGTACAACATTCAACTTCATATGGAAAAAGAAAACCAGGATAGCTAAAACAATCCTTTGCAATAAAGGAACTTCCAGAGGAATCACCATCCCTGATTTCAAGCTCTACTGTAGACCTATAGTAATAAAAACAGACATGTGGACCAATGAATAGAATTGAAGACCCTCACATTAATCCACACACCTAGGAGTACCTAATTTTTGACAAAGTGCCAAAACTGTACAATGAAAATGAAAGTGTCTTCAACAAATTGTGCTGGCATAACTGGATGTCAACATATAGAGGATTGCAAATAGAACCATAACTATTGCCATGCCCAAAACTCAAGTACAAGTGGATCAAAGACCTCAACATAATCCAGTTACCCTGAATGTAATAGAAGAAAAAGTGGGAAGTAGGCTCAAAGGCATTGGCCCAGGAGACCACTTCCTAAATATAATAGCAGTAGCACAGATTTTGAGGCCAACAATTAATAAATGGGATCTCCTGAAACTAAGAAACTTCTGTAAGGCAGATGATATGGTCATTAAGACAAAAGGGTGACAGCCTTCAAATGTCAAAAGGTCTTAACCAACCCCACATCTGACAGAGGGCTGATCTTCAAAGTATATTAAGAACTCAAGAAGGTAGACATAAAAATACCAAAAATCAACTAAAAAATGGGGTACAGAGCTAAACAGGAAAAACTCAACAGATGAATCTCAAATGGCTGAAAGACATTTAAGGAATTGCTCATAATCCTTAGATATCATGAAAATGCAAATAAAAACACTCTAAGATACCATCTTACACCTGTCAGAAGGGCTAAGATAAAAAAATAAAATAGACTCTCATCCAGTGACTGATGGAAGCAGATGCAGAGATCCTCGGCCAAGCCCCAGGTGGAGCTCCAGGATTCCAATAAGCAAGAGAGAGGAGGAATTATATAAGCAAGAGATATTGAGACCATGATTGGAAAAAGCACAGGGACAAATAGCTAAACTAGTGGATAGAGATAAAGTGTGAACCAATAGCTGAGGAGTCCCAATGGAACTGGACCAGGCCCTCTGTATAAATGAGACAGTTGATTAGCTTGCACTGTTTAGGAGTCAGCTTTTTGGAACCTAGGGCCTATGCTGAGACAATTTGCTCAGCATTGGTGTAGGGAGGAGTGGACTAGACCTGCCTCAATTGAATCTACCAGGCTGGGGAGACCTTGTCCTGAAGGAGGTGGGAATGGAGTGTGGATTGGGGGAGAAGACTGAGGGGTGAGAGGACGGAGGACAGGGGAATCTGTGGTTGATATGTAAAATTAAATTAATTATAAATTTTTTTCAAAAAAATTAAAAAATAAAAGAAAAACAAAAAACTGAGGGCAGCTTATGTTGGAGAGGCTGTGGAGTTCAGAGAACACTCCTCCACTGCTGGTGGGAGTGCAAACTCATACAGCCACTTTGGAAATTAGTATGGCTATTTCTTGGCACACCGGGAATCAATCTACCTCAAGACCCAACCATATCACTCTTGGGCATATACCCAAAGGATACTCAATCATACTACAAGGACACTTGCTCAAATAAGTTCATAGCAGACTATTCAGAATAGCCAGAACCTGGAAATAACCTAGATTTCCATCAGCTGAAGAATGGATAAAGATAATGTGGTGCATTTACATAATGGAGTACTACTCAGGTGCAAAAAAAATGACATCCAGAAATTTGCAGACAAAGGATGGATTTAGAAATAATCATCCTGAGTGAGCTAAACCAGACTTAGAAATGCAACCATGATGTGTGATCACTCATAAGTGGATACTAGATGTAAAGCAAAGTATACTCAGACTACAAGCACAGATCCAGAGAAGCTACGTAACAAATAGGACCCTAAGAGGCACACATGGATCGCTCCAGGAAGGTGAAAATGATGAGGTTTCCTGGGAAAACTGGAGGTGGGGGGAGGGAAGTGGTAGAGGAGAGGAGATGGGGGATGAGATCATGAGGGAAATGTATGGTCAAGCTGGGGGAGGGTCATTGTAGTATAGCAACAGAAATATATCTTGATAGAGGGAGCCATTGTGGAGTTAGGGAAATTCCTAGGAATCAACAAGGATGACCCCAGCTAAGACTACTACCAATAGTGGAGAGGGTGCCTGAACTGGCCTTCCCCAGTAATCAGATTGATGAATATCGTAACTGTCATCACAGAGTCTTCATCCAGCAACTGATGGAGGAAGATGCAGAAGTGTACAGCCAAGAAGTATCAGGCCATGATCTGTGAGTTCAGTGGAAGAGAGGGAGGAGGGATTATGTGAGCAAGGAGGTGTTACTATCATGATGGGGAGACCTATGGAGACAGATGAACCAAGCTTGTGGGAGGCCATGGACTTTAGATCAACAGCTGGGAGCCTGCATGAGACTGAACTAGGCCTTCTGCATGTAGGAGATAGTATTTTTGGTCTGTTTGAGGGAACCCTGGCAGGGGTACCAGGATCTATCCCTGGCAGATGAGCTGGCTTTTTGGAGCCAATTCCTCATGGTGGGATGCCTTGCTCATCCTGATGCAGAGGGGAGGGTATTTGTCCTGCCTCAATGTAATGTACCAGGCTTTTTGACTCTCTATGGGAGGCCTTATCTTTTGGAAGGAGTGGATGAGGGTGGGCTGAAGGGGAATCGATGGGTTGAGGGTAGCAGGAGAAGGTGTGGTAGGGGAATTGTGGTTGGTATGTAAAATGGATTTTTAAAGAGAGAGTATGATATGAACACTGCTTAATAAAGAAAATTGACTTCGGCCATAACTAGAATGATACCAAATTCAGAAGATAGGCATATAATAATTTAATCTGTGGCTTTTCAAAATGCTAATTCACAGTGAAAGTGGAAACTCAGCTCTTAAAGGCAAGATCAGCTTTTCGCTCAATGTCTGACTCCTGTATTTTATTGATAAGACTAGTTAGGATCATGCTTCAAGTTCTAAAAGTTACTTAAACTACTTAAAAATTTCATTTGTTCCTAAGGTCTAGGTATACAATATTAATAAAAAATGAATAAGGGCAATGAAAACAATGAACATCATGTCCCAATGACACCATTGCATTATAGACCAGTCCAAATCAGAGGAAGAATGTGAGCTAGTTGATACTTGAATGCCTAAAAGAATACTAGCTGTAGGAACAGGAACTTCCTCACTTGTCAATTGTGAACTGAGAGAAATAAAGACTACCTTTTTTTTTTTTATTATTTCTTTTCCAAGACAGGGTTTCAACGTGTAATTTTGTGCCTTTCCTGGAACTCACTTTGTAGACCAGGCTGGCCTCGAACTCACAGAGATCAGCCTGCCTCTGTCTCCCGAGTGCTGGGATTAAAGTTGTGCGCCGCCACCACCACCTGGCCAAAGACTATCTTTTTCAGTTACTCCTAGACAAATGTTCCTTAGCCTACTGGTCAAACCATGCACGTGACTAATTAAGGGCATTTTATGTAGTTCAATCTGTTTATACAGTTTAATCTTGAAATCCGTGTCTATCATGAAGTCTCCTGCTAACATTGCAGGCATCTGGGACATACAGCAAAGCTGTAGGCAGAATTCCATGGATGGAAAAGAGGGGATCTCTCAAGTGATAGTTTGCCCATTTGTAAGGGAGAAAGAGGGCCACTTTCTGGAAGTAACTAAAGGGAATGGTTCTATCTTCACATTTGGCAACAAGCACCAGATTTCACTCACTCATACTCAGAATAAGAAACAGCAAACAGTAATTGCATGCTAAATATTTTATTAGAGAGTTGAAGGTAAACTTACAACATCATTGTTGCATTGAAAAGACACTAAAGGTAAGTCTTCCAGTTCACCTAAAATAAATAAACAAACAAACAAACAAGTAAATAAATAAGGTCACCAAGAAGAAAGACACAACATGCAGTATCAATATATTCTGAGATACTTCTTAGTTTTTTGGCTTTCTAATTCTGGTAGAGTTAAGACTTTGATGGAGAGTGAAGGTAAATCACATCCATCAAAGAATTCTAGGGTTTAGAGTCCATTTAAATTTTGGATGTATATGTGATCTAATTCTTTAGGAGGACTGTGATGATCCATGGCATTTGGGGACTGGTGTGAAGGATAAACTATCAGATTACCTTTGTCCTGATGAGGAACTTTGTGGTTATGCAGAAAATGTCTACGGGGAACTTTGCTGTTCCTCACTTTCCTGCTGGGGTGGTTCTTGTTCATTTCCAGGTCTAGGAGGGCGATTTTGTTGCTGTCCTCCCTGCTGGGGTGGGCCTTGCTGGTTTCCAGGTCTAGGAGGTTTATGCTGTTGCTGTCCTCCCTGCTGGGGTGGGCCTTGCTGGTTCTGCTGCTGTCCTCCCTGCTGGGGTGGGCCTTGCTGGTTCTGCTGCTGTCCTCCCTGCTGGGGTGGGCCTTGCTGGTTCTGCTGCTGTCCTCCCTGCTGGGGTGGGCCTTGCTGGTTCTGCTGCTGTCCTCCCTGCTGGGGTGGGCCTTGCTGGTTTCCAGGTCTAGGAGGTTTATTCTGCTGCTGTCCTCCCTGCTGGGGTGGGCCTTGCTGGTTCTGCTGCTGTCCTCCCTGCTGGGGTTGGCCTTGCTGGTTCTGCTGCTGTCCTCCCTGCTGGGGTGGGCCTTGCTGGTTTCCAGGTCTAGGAGGTTTATTCTGCTGCTGTCCTCCCTGCTGGGGTGGGCCTTGCTGGTTTCCAGGTCTAGGAGGGCGAGGTTGCTGGTTATTGTCTCCTTCTTGTGGTGGTTCCTCTGGTGCATTTCCCTGTTCTTCACTGTCATCAGCATTTTCACCATCATCTTCCTCAGAGGCAGAAGGTCCTGGGGGGAATTCTCCAGGAGGGGGTCTCTGATGCTGTTGACCATGGCCTTGGTTTTGCTGTTCTCCCTCTGTTTGGGTACAGATCAATGTAGAATGAGTTTATACCTTCTCTTTCTCTGATAACACCCTCACAATATTATGTCCCTGATTCTCCTTTAAGATTATTTTTCACATTTATCATATGAACTTCCTTATGTCTCCACTCTTCTGACATATATTTGTTCTCAAAATCGGTGCATTAAAGATGACTTTGTGTTCTTTATATTTCTCAGACACGAAGAAAGGGGAAGAATTTTTTAATGTTATTATTTAGAAGTTGGCAGAGTAGCAAAATTGTGAGAGCAATGCTCTATTCTTAAATATCTCATGATGTTTAGAGTCCTATAACCATGTGGAGAACAAGAAAGAAATGTAGGATAGCAATGGGAAGATGTTCCATTCAATTTTCTTGCAGTGTTTTTGTATGTATTATTTAACTGTGCATATAGAACAGAGAAAAATAAATTTTTATAGTGGAGAGCATTGGATCTGTGTGATTGCATATCTTCTGATTGATCATATAATTCTCCTTGGAGTCACTGGTGAAAGAAGAATTCTACAAACAACCTATAGTGCTATTGGTGATTTTAAATTAGGACCTCGAATGTGTTCATCATATGCAAGCCATTACTTCCATCTGTGGAATAGACAAAATGTTCCTGTTATAAAAACCTGGCTTCCTACTCTTCCATTGTACAGCCCTGCTCCAGTTCCTAGAAGCATTGTTGGGAAGTCTTCCCATATATCTCAGGGGAAGCTGTCAATCATTCCTTTCATAGAATAACAAAATGTTAATGAGATATTAAAGAACTGAATAGTTACAGAATAAAGGATACATAGAATGTCAATAGAGGAAGAATCTGGTTTTACCTAGGAGCTGCGAAGAAGGGTTTCCATAGATGATTGCTAGAAAAGAAGCACAAAATAAATGAAAATTTACTCATGACATTTTCTGGATGCTCAATAAACATGACTTTAAACTACCACTTCACATCCACTATGCAGAATTTAATCTTGCATAATGTTGCTGATAATGTTGCCAGGATAGTCTCCATGGCAGCAGCAACCATTACTTTGTTCCTCATTAGCTGTGTCCATCCTTACTGTCTGTCTCCTTTACATTAGGGGAATTTCACGGTAATGTGTTCACAGTCTTATGTTTTGTTTTTATGACGTTCATTTCTTACAGGGTATATCCCTAGGCATTTCCCGCATGGAAATAAGAACAAACATTGCTTTAAAAACCATGTATAGAACAATGAACATTGCATGTGTGTCATTACAATAGAGAAATGGGTCCAGCCAGATATCTCAGTGAGGAAAAAAGTGCTTGCCTGTTGACTTGAATTCAGTTCCTGGAGCCACAAGCTATAAAAAGATAGCTTGGTGCTAAAAGGTTGTCCTCAGGCAGGAATGTGAATAAGCATTCAAATCCTCTCACTTTCTCTCTCTGTCTCTCTGTCCCCATCTCTGTCTAACTCTGTCTCTGCCTCTCTCTCTCACTATTTGTGTGTGTGTGTGTGTACACACACATATGTACATACACACACATACATACACATACATACACACACAGTGGTGCACGCAAAGACATACACAGAAATGATTTTTAAAAGAAATTATTTCCTGAAATTTCTAGTTATTTGTAAACAGAGTTTCAAATTTATTGTATTTTCCTACTTCTGTTTCTCAAAGATATGCCTAATACGTATTTACTTCTTTCATTTTTCTCTATCCTCTGTATACCAAGCCTAGCATCATTCACTAACTGCTTCTCTAACACCTTGAGTACTGAGTTTCTCTCTGTCAACTGTAACTTATTGCCATACATCATCCACCAACAAAAACATCTTTTCACAAATCCACTTATGTTATTTTGTTGCAAAAATATTTTCTTAAATTTTGCTTTATTTAAACCCAAAATCTACAAGCAAAATGATGATATAAATGTCCTAATATTTGTTCCCATATTTCTTTGCCTCAGTTGCATGTCATTTCCCCCCATTCTTCCCAGTCCTGAACTTCAGTGTGTCGCCCAAATCCTATGTCTCTCTACTACCCTCTCTCCTACTTTATACCTGCATTTGAGCTCTGAACAGAGCTCAGGGCCAATAACGCTGCTGTGAGCAGGACCACCAGCATCTTGGAAGAGGCTCTGGAGTTGCTCCCAAGTGTGTGCTGGAGGAAGCAAGGCCACAGTCTTTATAAGAAAGGTAAAACAAAGGCACCTTTCAGATCCTTACAGGTGACCTTCCCTGACAGGGCAGGATACCTCGCATCCTTGACTTTCCTTTGGGATTTTAGCCTAGCAGGATGCAGTGTGGAGGAGGTTATCAATGTCTCAGTTCTATTTGGTACAATATCAAATTTGGACAACAATGTTGAAGTGATCAGACAAAGTTCAGATATTAGAAATGAAGTTCTCTTATTGTTTAAGCTCTAGTTTTATAGAACTGTGACTCTGATCCTCTGAAATGTGATTGTGGGGGGAGTTTCTTCTATACATCCTTTTGTCCATACTCTTCTTGTCATTGAGGCTATAGATGGGTAGTCTCTCTGCTGTGAAGTGATAAAGTCCATTCATGGCATTATATGAATGTGTTACCACATATATAACATTTAGCTGATTGTTTTGTTCAGTTCAGCATGAAGTTAGGACACAAAGCAGGAATGCATAGTAACGTAGACCCACAAAACTGACAGCCTGTTTGGCCCCAGAAAGGCATTCCAGAATTCTCAGAACTGGTTCATGATATTGTAGAACTATATTACTGAGTATTCTATTCTTCACATCGTCCGTGTTAGAGAAAGGAAAGTGGCAATAGGGAGCCCATGAAACTCTAGGACCAGGTAATCCATGTGCACCCAGTTGTCCCATGATGCACGAATGCGTGGTTCCTGGCTAACATCTTCACTGTAACCTTATAAATGCTGTGTTGATAATATTGAATTAGATTATGTTTTAGTATGGTTCTCTCCATTAATTATTCTTAAGCAATGACATGGAGTATTGATTGACTAAACCTTGAACAACGTGGTCTGACATCCTCTTCAAACATTCCACAGAAGTGCTTTTTCTGATTGATTTTCAATGTGGAGAATCTCATGTTCTGATATGGAGTGCTTCAGTTTTTTCTAATCTGACTTGTTGATGATTTTAAGATCAATACCACCCACTGATACACATCTCAGTATCATTTTTAGGCCTTTTACTTTTCTGATGCATCCCTTGACTTCCAATTCAAACTAATGCTTACTATGTTCATTAGCGTGTTTGTGATTTGGCCTCCTTGCTTGACTTGCTATTCTTCCCCCATGACTTCCACATGAGGAGTACAGATGTGAACCCCAAAGACAGCTTCACTCTAGTCTTCACTAGCATACTTTCATTTTTAAAACAATTGGTTAGTGGATAACCAAGTGTGGTGTCAAACACCTTGAATCCCAGCACTTGGAGGCTGACACAGATGCATCTCTGAGATTTTGAGACCCGGTACCTCTACAAAGTGTTGTTCCAGGACAGGTAGTGCTGTTATACAAAGAAAACTTGTTGGGAAAAACAAAACGTGATTTCTAGATATTGTGTGAAATGCCTCTTCCTTTGATACCAATGCTTCTTCATTCTGTCACCCTGTTCTCTTTTCTGTTGCCCATTGAAGTCACCTGACTTTGGGCAGCCCAAAACAGTAAATGTGCATAACTGCCTTTTGACATCTGACAACCTATCAGGCTTTCATAATTGCCTAGTGTCTGTGGGATTTTTACAAATTTGAAGATTATTTGGATGAGGTAAAGCAGGTAGGGACATGTGACTGTAAGTTTAGCTAATCCATCATCCAGTGTGGATCACTTTCCTGTGCTCTGCATATCAAAGTGCATGATGGTTCATTTTGAACAGGTATAGAGATTATCTGAGAAAAAAAACCTAACAAGATAATGTCCTACAGATGATGTGACATTCTGTAGTGTCACCAGGTGGATATTTCTCCCCTAAGGTAGTAAGAGATGTATTCTGAAGGTGTAGTCTCTTAGCACTTGGCAATATTCTCTGGTTGTATGAAAACCACAGAAATTCTCACATTCTTAATTCAAGGGCTTTAATGAAGACAGAGAACAATTTTCTGTTTTGATTATGGCCCATTGTTTATTGACATGTTAGTTTTCTAGTGTTTTCTGATACAACATTTGAAGGACTTTTTTTTTTTTTTTTTTAATTTATTTTAATTTATTTTGCAATACAATTCAGTTCTACATATCGGTCACGGATTCCCTTGTTCTCCCCCCTCCCGTCCCCCTTACCTTCCCCCCAACGCCCCCCCCCATTCCCATCTCCTCCAGGGCAAAGCCTTCCCCACAGACTGAGGTCAACCTGGTAGACTCAGTCCAGGTAGGTCTAGTCCCTTCCTCCCAGGCCGAGCCAAACAATCCTGCATAGGCCCCAGGTTTCAAACAGCCAACTCATGCAATGAGCACAAGATCTGGTCCCACTGCCTGGATGCCTCCCAAACAGATCAAGCCAATCAACTGTCTCACCCATTCGGAGGGCCTGATCCAGTGGGGACCCCTCAGCCATTGGTTCATAGTTCATGTGTTTCCATTCATTTGGCTATTTGTCCCTGTGCTTTATCCAACCTTGGTCTCAACAATTCTCGCTCATATAAACCCTCCTCATTCTCGTTAATTGGATTCCCAGAGATCCACCCAGGGCCTAGTCATGGATCTCTGCATCCAGATCCCTCAGTAGTTGGATGAGGTTTCTAGCACAACAATCAGGGTGTTTGGCCATCCCATCACCAGAGTAGGTCAGTTCGGGCTGTATCTCGACCATTGCCGGCACTCATAGCAGGATACTAGACATGAAACAAGGATGAATTGTCTGCTACTCACATCACCAGGGAGGCTACCCGGAAAACAGGACCCCAAGAAAGACACAGGGATCGCCCAATGACAGAGAAATGGAATGAGATCTACATGAACAGCCTGGACATGAGTGGGGGTAATGAAAGGCGAGGGTCGAGGGAAAGAGAGCTTGGGGGAGCGGGAGATCCCAGCTGGATCAACAACAGAGAGGGAGAACAAGGAATAGGAGACCATGGTAAATGAAGACCACATGAGAACAGGAAGAAGCAAAGTGCTAGAGAGGCCCACAGAAATCCACAAAGATACCCACACAACAGACTGGAAGGACTTTTTGATCGAGTCCTGACCAGGTGTGGCTCTGGTCGACTTTAAACCTTGAACCGGGAAAGTGAGAGTAGGAACAGAGGACAAAGATGGGTATACAAGGTCATGTTTGGGCAGGTGGGGCGTTGGATGTTCTGGCAGAACGCAGCCTTGGCCTTAGCTGTAGGTGTGTCCTGGAATAAAGAAGTTGATTTTGCCAAATATCTCACAGTCTGAGCCTATTCTTGACCTTTTTCAGTGTTAGCAGTGTGTGAAAGAGATTACTGTTGTACGCAAGAAAAAATGTCACCTAAGAACTGACCAGACAAAATATCAACAGATTGTGGAGGAAGTGAGAGGGACACTGTCAGTCATTAGTATTTTGATGGGTTAAAGAATAAGTTCTTGCAATAGATGCCTAGGAACCTGTGCTGGTTGAAGCAGATGAGGAGTGGCCATTCCATATGTCCCATCTGTACCTCTACTGGTTACATATATGAAGAATTCAAATTCATCACATTGCAGTTACTTACAATGTTCTGTTCATTACTGAACTATTCAAAATACCTACAATATGGAACAGACATATATGGAAGTTCCACGTGTAACTTTTTTAAAGCTTCAGTATTCATATTCATTGCATGAGTCCAGTTTGCATCCCATTTTCAATCTTAAAGCTTCCTATTCCTGTACATTCACAGCAGTGTTTTTTGTTGTTTTATTGAATCAGGTAACTGTTCTGACTGGTGTCAAATGGTATTGCCTCACAGTTTTAAACAGAATTTCTATGAAAATTAAGAATGTTGAATATTGACAAAATATTTATCATCTATTTTAAATTTTCCTATTTAGAAATGCCCATTCAGGGCTGGAGGGATGGCTCAGTCATTAAAGGCTATTCTCACAACCAAAACTATAGAAGAAATGTCCTTTCAGTATATTGTGTTTATCTTCTATAAATGGAGACTTTTGTACACTCTAAAGATTAGTCTCCTATCTGATACACAGGTGAGAAAGAGTTTTGTTTTCCTCAACCTTGTTTCCTGTGCTCTGTGGAAAATCTTTTAATTGCATTGAATCACTTTTGTCAATTTTGGGGAATATTTTCTACTCAGATCTGTTCAGAATGCCCTTCTTCCCTCAAAGTTCCCTGTATCTTCTGAACAGTTTGAAAATTCTGTCTTTAGTTAAAATAAGATTAAATTAAATGTGGATTAAATTTGGGCTGATTTCTGTTTAGGGTAGAGATATGCATGTCTTTTCATTTTTCTACATGTGGACATACTTTTTTTTTTAGAGATATTCATTGATGACTGTCTTTTCTAGAACGACTGTTTTTGAGAGCTTTTCAACAATTATGTGTCACTGTAACTGTGTGGGTTCCTTTCAGTCATGTAATGAATTCCATTGGTTTAAGCATCTGTTTTTGTGCCTATACCATGCTGTTTTTCTTAATATGTCCTTGTAGTAAAATTATGAGCAGGCATACTACCATGGTTTTCTGCTCCCATCTAAGTGGAATTTTCTAAAAAGGAAAGAAGCCTTGTATCATTTGGTTTCAGAGACTTTCATTCCACCATACAGAAATCACAATATTCATAGTGTAGGTATCTGTTAAAAATATTTAGACATTCTTTTGCTTAAATTCTGTAAAATATAATGTAAAACCTATTTGTACTAAATGTACAATAAAGTTAAATATGTGAAACTGCATGTGCTTATTTCCTATAACGACATATTTATTTTATTTGTTTGTTTGTTTTTTTTTGAAAGCAGGATTTTTCTGTGTAGTCCAGGAACACACTCTGTCGAGCAGACTGGCCTTGAACTCAGATATCTGACTGTCACTTTCTCTGGAATGTGGTGATGAAAGTCACGTGCTGCCATGCCTGGGCTAGCTCTAGATCTGATTTTAATTTTACAAACTGGACTTAAATAACTTACATATTAAAATATTTCTCCTGGAACCAGGCTCTCAA